TATTTTGTATTAATCTGTATTTTTTTTAAGTTTCAGTCTTTTTAGTCTTTGTCTGATTACAATAAAGTTACAGTTTTTCGTTTCTTTCCTGGGTCAATACTTGATCGAATTAAAGAACGTGGTGGCTCGAGGAAAATTATATTTAAATATAATATATTTAAATATATTCACAAATTATCCATTTTTAGAATATATCCAAAACTCCTACATATACATACATACATATATTATATATAATTTATTATGGCTAAAAGTTTAATGTTTAGGCAAGGAAGACAACATTACCTGTGCATTTATTTTTAACTAAACTTTAAGCTAAACTGCGGCAGCACAAGCATGCAACACATAGAAATATAAAGACTTGTTGGACAAAATTATAAAAAATAATTCAATTTAAGCATTCACAAGACACAAATGCATGTACAAGTAAAAGGAAAAACTATATAAAATGTATTTAAAAAACATTAAAATTTAAGTTATGTGTTAAATATATAATTTATCGGAACTAAGCTGGAAAAAATAAATATGAAGGTCAATTAAATGATAAAACATGAGGGACAGTTCTGCTTTTTAACTTATTTGGTGCATTTTAAATGCATTTATTTATTTAAAAGTTCATTTATTTATTTCTGCTTTTATTTATAATTATGTCAGTGTCGGTCCTCCATACTGCAGAACTTAGAAGGTAAATCTGTGACTGAATCAGGTGTGTTGGAGCAGGAAAAACGTAAAACGTAGGGCTGCGGCCCTCCAGGACCAGGATTACCCACCCCTGGTCTAAAGGCTTTGTTTTGGAAAGCCACTGAATGATGTCATAGTGTGTACATGTTTTTGTTACCTGGTGGGGATGATTTTGACCATTTCCCTGGTCCGTATGGCTTTGTGAGGACCTACTGTTCCATATGGAGATAAAACCCTGGTCCCTAAACACCATTGGTGGGTCAGGGTTTAGGGTTAGGTATGTATCGATGTTAGGTTTAGGTGTCAGAGTTAGGTTGTAATGACTGGTAAATGAATGGAAGTCAGTGCAAAGTCCCCATGAGGATAGAATAACAAATATGAATGTGTGTTTAACTCTTTATTTGTGCACTCTTCAAATACACAAACAAAAACACAAAAATAAGAAAAGTACACGTAGGTACAACTGACAAATAAAATCTAATTTGTCTGAAAGATGTAACTGAATGAAGAGAGTCCATTTCTTCCACAGTTCCGCTAATCGTTTTTACTAACTTTGAAAATCGTTAGCAGACCGATTAGCTTCTGCAAAATTCGGTTCTGCTAATAAGTCCACTAAAAGTGTTAAAATTCTTTTTTTCTGCCGTTTAGCCTGAATTCAATAAAATCTATCCACTCTTAAGAGCAGTGCTGGACGTGTGAGGCACCGTGTGTGWTAGCATGTATCATCTTTAGCAGCTAAACTTCAAACTAAGCATAAAAAAGTAAAAATAAAATGACATTTGACAGCAAATACAAAAATTAACTGGTATATAAGTATTTTCCTTTGGTTGACTAACTTCAAACAGTATTTATTTTCATCTGGAAGGAGATGAAGACGTGTGGCACAGACTGACAGTCGTTTTAGCGGTTAGCATTAGCATCCCCTTCATTTTTAACCTGTTTTGATTTTTGATTCTAAGATTCTTATTTACTGGATTAGAGTTTAGTGAAGCTAACTTTTTGGCTAGCTGTTCCCACCACTAACCATATTTTTAGGTGTCAAGCCTAGATGTAAGTCCTGGGGTTGGCTAGTAATCCCTACAGGGTGCCGTTTGTAAAGTTACACAGTCAAAAATTACCACCAATATTTTTTTATTCAGCCTTTTTTAAGAAAAAAAAAGAACAGATTTATTTTTCAAAGTCAGTTTTTCACCATAAGATTCATACATTTATAAATGTCATAGTTGATAAACTAAATATTTAACTTACAAATTAAATATTTAACTTGTTAGCTAAATATTTAGGTTGCAACTTAAATATTTAGCTAGCAAGTTAAATATTTAACTTAAATATTTAGCTAACAAGATAAATTTTTAACTTAAATATTCAGCAAACTACCTAAATATTTAACTTGCTAGCTAAATATTTAAGTTGCAACCTAAATATTTAGCTAACAAGTTAAATATTTAACTTAAATATTTAGCTAACAAGATAAATTTTTAACTTAAATATTCAGCAAACTACCTAAATATTTAACTTGCTAGCTAAATATTTAAGTTAAATATTTAACTTGTTAGCTAAATAT